GGGTTGTGCGGTGACGGTGATCTTTCATCTTGTTGCATGTTGGCGATAGTGATAATGTTCTTGTGATTTGTCCCATTCCTCTCTACCAGACTCCCGGGACGCGATTCGCTCCGGCGCGGCTACTCAAAAGCCACGTCAATGTTGGGCACATCCTTTGCCACTTTTGTATGCATATGTGAAGTTGATGAATCATCGAACTGGTCCATGAACTTATTAGAAAACACAAACTAAAATAAAACATCATTATGGTGCGTGTACGAGTGAGCAGCGTGGTGGGAGGTTGCATCGTAAAGATCCACCAAGTTGTGACGTCTCACATATCTAGATCGGGTTGACACCGCCACGAGTGATGTTGAGTTGTACGTTGGCAAAGCTCCCTGTGACACTTGGATTTGAATATGTGGGTGAGAATTATACTGGATATTGTCTGAGGCCATATATGGTTTAAATTTGCAATGATGCCAATAATTGATTTAAAAAATATTATTGCCTGAGGCCATATCCGATCCGATATCAATTCTAGATTCGCCAAGTGTTCGAATTATTATGGTTGATCAACCAAGAACTATCCAATCCATTTGCACCAGACCACACTTTGATTGACACATGGTCATGAGTTTTAAGCTGCCATGTTTTTGTTTCGTCTAGAAAATGCCTAGCATGCGTACACGTAATAAGAATATAATGCGCACCCAAATTCTACTCCCACCTTAGGCAAAATCCACGTTTAATTAGGGCTTTACGTACGCTGGTGATGGCGATCTTGCATCTTGTTGCATGCTGGTGATAGTAACAAATGTTTGATCTGTCTCAGTCGGCCAGTCCACCACACCTCCAGAACGCGGTTCGCTTCGCCGCGGCTACTCGAAAGCCACGTCGAAGTTGGGCACGTCCTTTGCCACTTTTGTATGCACATACGTGAAGTTGATGGATCATCACACCCTTTCATGGACCTTGCGGCTGCACACTTTTTAGAAAAAGAACAGCCGAAATTAAGCACCATTCATGCATTCTGTGGTGGGTTGGGGTGGGCATCGAAAAGAAAACTCTGCTGTTCTGGAGAATCATTGCACGGTTGTTGCATCCCCTTCTTCAGAGAAACAGGAGGAACAATTGGCCAGTTTTGGATGGACGTCACGTGTTGGCATGTCTCCTTTGGCCACGTCGCGCCTCCGTAATCTCGATCGTTGCCTGCTTGATTGGGCCTCGGCTCCTCACGCATCTCGCCTCGACACGTCCCGCTTTGTTTGCACGGCCTGATCGCCACCCTGACACGTCCCACTGTCCTGCTCGTCTTAATCATTGGTCGCTGCTTTGGACTCAACCTCTTGACGTCATTGCGTTCTCATAATTCTTGGCTTCGACATGTGACCCTCTCTATGGACAGGCGGGACACGTGGCGGCAGCGACAGCGACGGGGAAGGAGGCGCGTATGTGCACTCCCGGCTATGGAAGTCACGCTGCCAATGTAGTACGGAGTACGTACTACGTGTTGGAGGATAGAAATGGAGTCCAGAGAATATGCTGCCTGCCAGTGTACATACGACTGGCTTGAGCACTGCGAAGAAAACATGGCTAAGTAATAACTAAAAAAAGCCACGCTCTGAGCCTGGGCCTGGGCCCAGATCCGCCCTGGTAGCGAAGATGATGGGAATAATGGTACCTCAACTTTTTCCATGTTGATGTCCTTTCGCGGAGTGGTGATGGCGAGCCGGAGGATGGTGTTGATCATCGGGGCTTAGTTTGGTGTGGCAAGGGTGACTCGGAGGATGGTGTCGGTCATCAGCGCTTGCCCCGGCATGGCAACATCATGCTGTGGAGGGGAAGACGTTGTGACGTGTTTTTGTTCTCTAATTTCATCTCAATCAAATACAGCTCCGTAAGAGAACTTGTAAGATTTGTGACTTTCTTTCTCTGTCTAGTTGGAATTATCTACTGGCCCTCTCGAGGATAGTGATTTATTCGGGAGGGGGCTAGTCCCACTGAAAGCGCATCATCAAAAATCATAAAATAAATTCAGGAATAGTACGAGCACCAGAACTTGAATCCTGATGGGCTGAAAATAACACTGTTCCTCAAACCATCCAACCACATGTTAGTTCGCAAACTTCATATATGTTGTTTCTACAATCTCTTGGTTTCAACATGGTTGCTCGGATAGTTTTCTTCTTCCAACAAACAGTTGCTCTGATAAAATATACCGGAAGGCAACAATAAGCTTCGCTCACATTGGTCACCGATACATGCAACATGAAAATGGTTGTGATTTCACCATTGAGATGACTGTCATTTCTTATTCTTAAAAGAAAATTGTAGTATAAAGGCTAGTTTTATTTAACTATGGCCTTTAAGAAAAATGTACTAGTACACATTTTGTTCCTAAATAAAGGTAGTATCAAGATCCCGACTGTCGTGAAATTTTCACGGCAGATGTCCTTAGTATGAGGACTTAGTCGCGAGGCCAACGCATCTATGTGGTAGCTTGAGAGGGGTTGGACGGAATCAAGAGACGCAACATGAGATAAGGGTTTACACAGTTTCGGGCCCTGGGAAACATCATCCGATAATAACCCTACATGCTGTTTGTGGCTAGGTCTCATTATGATCATGAGGGAGTTGCCGGTAAGCCGGATCTTTTTGTCTAGCCCTAGAGATTGTTTCTTCTTGCCTCTCTCCTCTTGGGGTGTCCTGCCCCTCCTTATATAAGTTGGAGGGATGGGTTACATGTGGAGTCCTACTAGGATTAGGACTAGTCTATTACAAGTGGAGTCTTAGTCTTGCTTCCTTTGTAAGGGAATATTCATTATGCTTTTCTCTTAAGCCGGCCCACTAGAGTATAAGCCGGCCTGCTGGGCCTTGGGCCTTGTCGTTCGTCTAATCCGCCGGCCGAGCCTCCAGTGAGTCACAATGTCCAGGCGGGTTACATGTAAACCGCCATGTCCGGACGGATCGCCAGTGAGTCACCAAGCTTCAGCCGGGTCTCTGGTGAGTCGCCAAGTCCGACCGGGTCATAATTCTAGCCGGGTCATACCGCGGGGTATATCCCCGACATTAGCCCCCGGTTTAGTTTGGATTTATCCTGTTAAACTGATCCTGCAAAATAAACACCAGAACAACTTTGACAGGTTGTGGTTCGGTTAAAAAATTCTTGTAAGCCGGAACCTGATCATCTTTAAGTCCTTGTCATTTCCTTCTTCATACACGCCCATGAGTTCATAACAAATCTCCTTAGCAGATATGTTTCAACTTTGTCAATGCAAAAAATCCAGATACTTCTTTTGAAAAATTCGGGTCAACAGGCCAGCTTCAGAATTAATTTGCTGACATTGGTCTCTTGTAAAGAAATATTGTAAGAAATAATCCACTTGAGTCGGCCTTCAATGCTCTGATTTGACAAAAATATTGGTCTTAAAATATTCAACTGATATTCAGCCGGCTTAAAGATGTAGATCTTGCCGATTTATGATTGCCAAATTTGCCAGTTT